TCCGGGAATCAGAACGGTCCCACGTTGACAAGTTCCTCATTTCTTTGGGGCGAGTTATCACTGCAGGAGACATAACAGTTGAAGGAATGTAACTTCAAGCGGAGCCATTCTAAGCTGTATGTGGGGTACGGTAGTTGGGGCACTAGTGGTATAGTAGTAAGTGCGTTGGGCAGAAATAGGGGAACCAGATGCTCTCCCAAACCAATTCTTGGGAATCTACCGAGCTCCCATCAATCGAATCATCAGTGGGAACGGTAATCTCTCCAATACAAGTCTCTCCAATGAGAAAGATACGGTATTTGAGCTGCTCCAAACAAGACTCGACTAATTTTATTCAGAACATTATAAGGGATCAAGGATGGATGGCATTCAATTGCATTTGCTTCCATCCTTTGAAGGGCATCAAGTCCTCAGTGTCCAGGTCATCATCCCATCCGTTCATCCAATTGTTGCCAAAATCTTTCGAAGCGAATGAATCCAGGAATCCAGAAATACCCGAATTCGGGCAACTTCTTGGCCTGAATGCTTTGAAACTAGCCCTCAACACATCGAAGACCTGAAATACAAATTTTCGAGGATTTCTGTGAAAAGTATACGGCTCCACTCCAACCTCGAATTCCTGGCTTCGCATTCCCTTGAGCGCATCCCACATTTCCAGTTGGGTTTGATTCCTCTCTTGGGTGATTTTGAGGAATTTTTCGAGAGCTGTAGGAAGTTCGGCGATGAGAGTGGAGACATTTCGCTTCAGCTCCTCCATGTAACTTTCCATTTCTTTCCCATACTCTTCGAGTTGTTTCTGAAATGACAACCGCTTACTTCAATAGTCATTCTACCCATTTACAATATACTCAAAAGGCTTCTATTTACCTCGACTCCATACTTTTGAGCCCAAAGCTTGACATCATCGTTTTGTTTGTCAATTACTTCGTTGTAGTTGTAAATAATCGAATAATAGTCCAGAAGTGCTCTCCAGCCAATATTTCTCAGGAAATCCGGTTGAGGTAGTGATCTGTGGCATTTCTCACCGAATGGGAATTCTCCTTGGCAGAGTTCGGCTACAACAATCAGCAGCAGCGAAAGACTGGTTCTCATCCTGAAATTACCTAGCCAATCTGTATTCAGGAGAAAGGAACGTATACGGTAGTGAATACTGTAAGCATACGAGAAGAGCCGATTGTTATGTTTTCCATATAGTTATGATTAAGATTATGATTATGATTTATTATCGGAAATCAAAGAAAATAATTCGATATATCATGAGACAATCTTCAATTGAAAGTTTTCGGTGTAATTGTAAATAATGGAGTAATAGTCCAAAAGTGCCCTCCAGTCAATATTTCTCAGGAAATCCGGTTGGGGTGCCCCCAGTGTAGGAGGTCTCCCTTCACCCATACTTTTAAGGAAAGCATACAAACTGCTTTGGAGGACCATATTCATAGACTACTAAATGACGAGGACCGACTCTTAGAATCTGATCCCTCCTCATCATTTTTTTCCAGATAGCATTACGACATGAGGACTGGGCCAAAGGCATGGATCTCACAGAAGGAGCACTCGAAGCTGTTCGATTTGGTTTTTTTCAATTATTAGGGTTCATTGAAAACTGAAAGCTCTCTTCACTTTATAACACCAATGTTAGACACATATGTACAAAATCAATCCAAAAAGTCACTCCAAACACTTCCTAGAACTACGGTACAAGCCATGGACACAAGGAAATTTGAAGTTTTTGTGGTGACGGCCTTCCCACTGAGTGGCAGAAATTCGAATTATTCGAGATTAGAGCAAATGAAAGGCTTGAGAGAAACGCTTGATGAGCGGTCCTGTTATCAGTGCCTTTATATACCACCACATCCGATGTTGACCTAGGAGGAGGATTCGATGGATGAATCATTTTATGGCTAATGTTATCACTAAAGGCGAAAAAGCATGTGGCCCGTGAGTTACAATCGCATGATGTTTAGCAATTGACGATTTCCGTGCGTCGCTTTAGTTTCCGATTACATTTTTTCAGCTTTCGCTATGAATCAGCTACAACTATCATTGTAGCCTCGAGCTCGTCGCTTTGCTCTCCCATTTTCACGTTTTTTCCACTTTCCGCTATGAGTCAGCCACATCTATCATTGTAGACTGAAATCGAAAGTGCAAGTTATAGCTTCTGGAAAGCTCTACAGTTTGTTTGGAATCGTTCCCTTGAGTTGTCTCATAAGTCATGTATCTGATACCGGGTGCGCCCAGATGAAGCGGAACTCGGGCCTCTGACTGCCCTCACATACTGGCCGCGGATTGGGTACCCCGATTAAAGAACGGTTTATCAAGCGGAATCATGGTGGTGCTCATGCTAGCGTTTATGACAGTGAGGAGAAGTGAAAGTCAGTGGCAGGAGCGAGAGTACGGTGATGGTCCGGCTACTATGTATGTGCAAGAGCGGCTTTCCAGGGTTTATGTGGAAGGCTCGGATGCCTCATCTCAATTTTCCTTCACTTGCTCACTACCTATACCGCCTATGTGACTCCCTGTATGTGATTATCGATTTGCTCGACCAGGCTCTACCGATATCATCATTTCTCGTCCCTATGGACCGCCCCAGATGTAGTCCTATAGACCCGTTTCGTTTGAGAAACTGGTATTAGACTACCATTACTTCTATCCAGAGCTTTAGTGAAGCCTGACAACCAGCTTGGCGGTCTCGTTTATTCATTTCGTATGTGGCTATCTTCGCTTCACCTTCTCCTTACTCAGTCGCAATGACAGTCAATATGTGGGAAGTTGAATTCAGTTGATTCGTCCCGAAAAAGGATGAGTTCCCCGCTCTTGAGTTGCTAAGCGCTCGACGAGGTAGAGAGTCAAGTCAAACATACGAACTCGTTATACACCCTTCGTTCCAGCGCATTACTAAGAGACCTGATTGGTTACGGTAGAGCAGTATCCTGGATCATGATAACATAATCATCACATTCCATCATATGAACACATGTCGCTTGACTCCTCCCTGCCTTAATCAATGAGCTGCCCTCGTATATGAGAGTGAATCACTGTTAATGTACTGTTGTATGTTTGGATAAGGCTGTGATGTAGTGGACAAGCACGGTTTAGCGGAGTATAAACGTAAGCTCAAATCCTCTCTGCTGGCAAATGATCGGTCTCTATTTCAACAGATTTCTGGCAGCACTTTATCAAACAACCATGAAAAAGCCAATAAAATTAAGGTTTCATAAAAATGACCGCGTCTGCAAAGGAGAGTAATAAAAAGGAAATCATAGAACAGAGAACAAACAACAAAGGGTGGTAAACATGCCAGCCTACATATTTATGGAAACACGTATGCAGACCATGAAAGAACAAGAATCGAATTCTTATTAATTTATCGGTTTCTCTGCTAATCTCCAGAGACCATCGGTCAAATAGTGTATATTATCAATACCTATTCCTTTATTCACCGATTGAATCTCTTCTGAACTCATTTTCATCTGACCGATTGCCAAGGCGTGCTGCTTGCCCTTAAAATAGAAATCATAAGCAGAAATAAGGAAAATAAACAAAAATGACACGACAATACAAATTTTACCCATGGGACAAAAATAACGATTAGAAGAGCAAGCTACTAATAAGGATAGTTGGCAACTGATTAACTAGAGAATTCACAAAAAAAGGATCACCTCAGCCATCACGGCTACGACTGCGTTCGCAGGAACACCGGGTGTCATCTTTGCACCAGGAGATGTCAATCCAGGACACATAATGGACGATCCATTTAGGACAAATTTAATGGCACCTTTGTCAACCTGCAAGCCATATTACTTCAACTCATCACTTCAACAAAATGTTGAGTTTTGAGACAATGGGAAGTCCTCAAGCATCATACTAGTGGACGACTGTAATTTTCAAAAATAAATATTCATACAGGGTGAATATGTGCTGAAGGAGTAACGCCACACTTTCAATCTCACCTCAAAGTGACAGAATCACCGAGCGGTAACCTTTACCGTTAAAGGCTCTTCTCATATGTTTTAACATAACCCCAGTGAGGTAAGCATTAGGGAGCCCGACTGTCAAGAAGAGAAAGCTATTGTAAGTTTAGAATAGTAAAGTTTTCTAACCTGTTGATGAGGCATAATAAAGGGGTATTTATGGAGTAATCGTAAAGTAGGAACCCATTCCGTATTCCTGGTCTTCAGAAACTGTACAACACCGTTATGATCAGTCAATAGCTCAACATGATCTTTACATTTTATCAGCTTGAAGTTTTCCTGAAAAAACCGGTATTGAGCAAACTTGTCAAACTAAAAAAATTTAAGTCCTACAGGCATTGCTGGGAAAAACAAGAAAGCTTCGAAGGATAAGCCTAGTATTATAAACGAAGTAACAAAGGAGTAAAAATACAGAAAACCATTTCTAATGAGGTCTAGACGGTCTTACGTTAGTGATTACGAGAGTATTCAATAAGAACATTCCATAGCGGGTAATTTGCAGCCCAAAATTTTTCCGCAAAGCAACAAAAATGTATACTCGAATGAAGAGTGTTAAAAAGATTACCTTCTTTGGTAGAATATCGGCTAAGAAAGGTTCGATGTGCGGATAAGTTTCAATGATTTTGTTCCTAATTCCCTTCTGAAACAAATGAGTGAGATAGTCTGTTGGAAATAGAGTTTCCAATAAGAAGTAGGTAGATGAACAAAGCATTAAACTGAAAGAGGCAAAATATCAAAACCAATCAGAAAAAACATGCCTGAATAGATGACTTCAATTGGGTTGCTCCCGTTATGTCTTCTTTGTCATCAAACTTCTTAAACATCCTCAACCCTAAAGACAATATTCACTTAACGTGATACAAATCCAACATTTCCAAGATAATCGTGTAATACGTTCGAAAGTGTTGTAAAGAACGCCTCCAGGTCCATTCTGCTAAGTATTTATTTCTAACATTTGATTTAACGAGTAAAGGCACTTAAGAAAGCTCACGATGGAATGTGTAGCAAACAACAACATAAACAATTGAAGTAAAAAACAGCAAAACAAACGAGCTATAATGTAAGTAAAATTCCTAGAAAATAAAACAAAAATAACAGGGACGCTCTATAAATTACGTATACAGAAAGAAACATCGACTTACTAGAGTTGTAATAACACAAAACAGAGTAAATATCGCACTTTTCATAACAAGTAAATAAAAGGACTAGAAATAGAAAGCGTTTCTGCAGGTCAAGTTGCTAATAGTAAATGCAGCGGGTTCGATGAAAAGGGACCTGAAAAAGTTCCAGTGTAGACATGTGGAACGGTTCAGTCGAGGATCTTCAAGCAAAATACGTAATCAGGACTGATTGAAGACGCCACCAACGCTATCGTACTCTTTACTCTTTCCCATACTACTCCACAAAAGAGATTAAGTCTCACGCACCATCTCCTTAACCTTGGGTAAAATGAGAACAAGGTAAGGCTTATTATAAGGAAACCTTGCAACCGACCGCTTTCTCAATATCAACCGCATGTTTACGTCGGTAAACCCATGCGAAAAGATCGACATCCATAGCGTAGACTGGCCTTGTCACGTCACCTTCCTCTACACGCAATTTTTGAATGGCCGACACTATTCGCTGCAAAAAATACTAGTACCATTGGGGGATAAGAATATTCTCTGGTATCATACGACCATGCAGAAAACAAACCATTGAAGGCGTTGCAAAGACAAGTTCTCCAAATCTATCAAATCAAAGCAAATGTCGAACTAACAATCGACGTTTCAAGATCAATGTTGATAAAAGAACAGAATTTCTATACCTCACACACCCATATGGAAGCTCCACGCAACTCGACTTCTTCAGCACTACCGTTTGGAAGCAGTTGACCTGATTTTAGCAACTTGACCAATTCAGGTGAATACTTCAGAGCGCCCAAGTAAGCAAGGGCTTGTGGTACACGGTAGTCAGCAAACATGGTCAGAATTCTGAATAACGAAAGTGAATCGATTGAGGTGTAGCCTCAGAAGATTTTGAAGCTAACCCTATATCTTTGAAATCACAAGCAGGATCGTCCGCATGTAAGGCGCCGTAAACGTCCGCTACCAGAATTTGGGCGCGTTTCAGAAAGGACACTGGAAATGTTTCAGCTTATCAAAGTAGAACAGACTCGGCATGAAGAAAAAGTACCATGATCGAAAAAGGAAACGAGGTTGGTCACCTTTTTGACCGCAGAATACGGCAAAATCTCTGAATGATTCGAAGTTTTCTACAATGAGTTCAAGCAGCTTAGCTGCACTTCCATTTGCTTTTAAGATGCAGTTATAGAAAGAGCCGTCCCATTTCTGGAGAGAAAATGGAATCTGTTCAGAGAACAAAGACCCAGGAAAAGGAGCATAAATTCATAAAAGATAACACATGGCTGGGGCACTTATAGTCGTCGAGAGCCAATTATATCGCCGCCTTACCTCGAGTAGCACTCTCCCCGATTCATTCATGGCCTTGACTCGTTCCGTCAGCAGTGGGATAGAGTAGCCTAAATAAGTCCATAATACAACAGGAAATCGAGAACCTACAAGTAGGCACCGCAAGGATTTCAATCGGATAAGTTACGGAGGGAAGTAAGAGCGTACCGCCATCAGACTTGAAGACCTTATCCACATCGGCCTCAGTGGCTTTTGCCATCCATTCTGCTGACGTAATATTTAACCCAGAATCTAAGGCCTAAATATTTTTGATGCACAGCAAAAAACTGGACATGAATTGGAAACTATCAGGTAAATGCGTGCCTCACTTTGTTGACGGCAGCACATGCAGCGAAATATCCTGTATGCTTTGTTCCTTCATAAGTTACGTCATACTTGGATCCTCGATCGGGCCAAAACGAGAAGTTGACAGTATCAGTGAAAAAGATCCTAAGTATTTCATGATATCAATGAAATTAAGAACAAAACGAGATGTGCTTGATAAGCCCCACCAATCTATAGCTGATTTCCCTTTACCCTTCGGATGAACAGCTTGTGCCGAAAACTCCACCTCAGCCATCGATCCATCCTTTACCGCATCATAAATCTGAATATCGGTGATTTTTCTTTTCCGGATCATAAGATTGATGTACTAGCGATTGTAACCCTTCATGACATCTTTACAATTTCATTTTTAGTCTTTGAGGAATACATAAGAACTTAGATTGCTAGGCTTTTCTACTTCAGTAAACCCTCACCACGATCTAGGGCGAATGAAAATGCTTATCAAGAGTCAGTTAGGGCATTTCCTTTCTAGGTACACTGTTCAAATTGAATGTCTCGAAAATTTGGTCCCATGATGATAAAAAAANAAAAAAAGATGTTAAGCGGCGCATTTACATCCCTTTACCACAACCATCGACAAAAACTCTACCATGCATGACGTGCCCAGCCAAAGGGCAAGATTTGTAAGATAGAGAAAAGCAAAAAAATTAAAGTTAAATCGCTAACATAAGGGCACAAGAATGTAAAACTCACCATTCGGGCCACGCGTAAAACTCCGTCCTCATTGATTTTAATGTGCTTCGCATTTTCCATGATGAACTTCCCTGATTCCAACGGTGATAGAGCTCCCTCCATTTTGACGACTACAACTTGACGTTTTCAGGAAAACAACAAATTTCTAGTAAAAGTTTGCAAAAACCAATTGAAACGTAATTAACTAATTTAAGATTACTGTGACGTCCTCATCTGTGCAATGATCCTGCAGACAAGTATTTAAATCTTACGAGCATTTTCAAACTTATGACCAACCTTACCCGAGTGATGGGCCATATCTTCGAGTCGCTTCACGAAGTTCTCGAATTACTCGTTTAATGTAGTAGCAAGGATCCGTAAGTTTCTGTTTCTCCTAGCATATCCCTGCTCCGTAGCGTCTGCTGAAGTTTATAGATTCTGAAAGGTCCGTTCAAGAAGGACGATGTTGTTGTATTTTCTTCATTACGGGATGGCCCTGTTGCCAGGTGCCTGGATTGAAGTGGTTGTTATGATCCAAGTTTATATACTGGCTGCATACTATGCTCTGAAGGAACTGCTATATGAGGTACTTTAAAGTTAACATTTAATTCACTCATTCGGCAATTAGCTTCTTCTTGATGAATTAACTTGTTGACTGAGTTTTAGGCAGCAAATCAGGGAATCAAGAAGCGTCTGGAAAATGAAATCCGAAAGTCTCGCGCAATACGATCCGCCCGCACGAAACGTGTATTTATAACTGGAGCCGATGGTACTATAGGTCGAGAGGTGGGTTTAGCAAACTTTAATAATTACTTGAATGCAACGAAAATGTGGCGACCATTTGTTTATTTCTTGGGAATATTTTCATCAAACTTCAAATTTCTTCTCTGGAAAATGCAACGAGAAAAAGTTTTTTGGAAAATTAAAGTTTGCATGGTATGGTGCTCAAAAGAGGAGGGATATCTTGAAACCACTCCCATGGTTAGAGTTGATGCCATGCATTCGTCCAGATATTCACCTGTGCTCTCGCATTAACTACCAGAACCAAATCCATAGTTAGGCTCTAAAGCACCTCAGCACGATTTGCTTACCAGAGTTATGGGCCTACAGACCTACGTCCCGTAGGTATAGGTCTGCAAGTCCATAACTCTGGTCAGAAAATGTGCGGTTTGCTTTGCCCTCCCTTACATTTGACTCTCCGAGCTTTTGATTGACGATGTTCCAGGTGGTAAAGAAATTCCTACGATACGATTACACTGTACATGCTTTGGTTGGAGATCGACAAAAAGCGAAAGTGATGTTTGAGTCTCTGAATGGTTCACAACTGCCATTAACCTTTTATGAGGTCGACTTTGCGGATCCTCATGAAGTAAGGATAGAGCTTCTGAACTTCTATATACTTCACCTAACCCTGTAGTTTAGGTGACTAAGTTCGCGAGAGGATTTCTTAACAGATGTGGTGAAATTCACGTGATGGTGTTTTGTGCCGGCACTATGTTGGATGATAAAGAGGTATGTAAGATTTTGAACATTTTTTAACTTGGGCTCACAGCTATCGTTTTCGGTTACTATTTTTGATTAGAGTGAACGTAATTCTTTCGCTACCATTTGTCTCCATTTATTGGCGAATAATGTTCGACAAGTTGTACCCAATTGTGGACATCATTGAGTTGGTGGAGCGGTAACAGCTTTTTTTTTCATGGTGCATTCAACGTGCTTCACCTCGAAATTCTCTAGCCAAAATATATGATAGAATTACTGATGTCCACGAATACGAAATCTCTTCACCCGATATTTACTAATCCGTGTAATTTGACCATGACTTTGCATACGTCTCTATCCGAAAAAAATAGGGCTTTTTCCAATCTGACTTATTCTGCTAACCATCTTTGCTCCTGCTTTCCTTTTTTATCCTGGTTTGGTTTGTCTATATTATATTAATCTATGCAATTTTTTTTGGACGCAGCTTTAGCAACTTGCCTAACAGCCGGTTGACTGATAACAAACCTGACTTGATTCAGTTGTGAGCTTCAATGCTTTTGACTCTGGTCTTTCATTTAGTTTATCGGTGACGTTGAACGTCACATGTGCGTTAATGTCGTTTCACAAGCACTGCTGCTGGACCTGCTCAGCCCCTTGCTTGTGCCCGATGCCAGGATTCTATTTTTGAGTTCATCGACCGCAAAAGTATCTCACTACACGAGCTCAATCTTGCAAGGAGGTGTGTTGCATCACGAGATTCACTTAATTATTGTGTATTCGTATACGCGTAATTTTTGGTTGGATTTACTCTTTTTTGGTTTTGACTTTCTGCTCGAAATCCCCGTATCATCACTCCTCCATTTGGGTGAAACTTTGACTTCCCCTATTTTCAGCTTATAGAGGCCAATTTTCAGATCTGTTGACGTACCACGTGGGTCCCTACCAAGCCTACTGCTTATCCAAACTTGTTCTCTCAGTGTATGTCGAAGAGCTGGCTCGTCATCGGTACGTCATTTTCTATCTCTACCTTCATTGTGTCCAAGACATTTACGTTAGCTTTCTTCAGACCGCACTGTATTGCGACCATGCACCCTGGAGTGATACCGGGAACTCTCTATCGTCATACCAATATGTTTGTGAGACTCGTGACGTATTTCATTCTACCTTTTTTGTTGAGGTGAGTCTCGTTCAGTCCGTTTTCAAATTTGCTGACTTTCAAATCATCATTACTTGGTAGAGATTGAAACAAAGAAATAGAATTTCGAGGCGAGCAAGGTCCTCCTTTCTCCATATTACGATGTAAAAAGGCTTCCATTTTCCAAAACGAACTTTCTACCGAACACTACTTAGCAGCTTTATATGTGTAGTCAGCTACTCCGATTCGATCATAGAGCAAATATTCGTTCAATGAGCTTTTGTGCGGCAACTAGATAGATTGCTCCAAAGAACTCCACATTAAAGGCTAGAAAAGTCTGATTAGAAATTTTCTAGGCGATCCACCTTCAGCGCCCTACTCGTGGTTCACACCTGCTTACGTGATGACCTAGTTAGCGGATCATATTACGAGGATGAAGTGGCAAAAAGGCTCGGAGATAAGCTGACCGAAAAGGTTGGTTTATTTGCATTCAATTATTTCAACCTTACACTTCGAATTTTGAGAGACCTTTTGATAACAGATGTACGCGGAGAAGCGGATTGGTTTATGTGTTCCTTTTTTTGTACATCTGCTCAGAAGGTTTAGAACAAAACCATTTTTCAGGATAAACAATCCATCTTCAAGGCTGTACAAAAACAAGTCCAGGAATGGTCCCGTCTTGAAGATTAAAATGTTATAACAGGTTTTGTTGTTTGTTGTTATATATTCACACGCGTTACGGTTTCATTGTGATAATCATGTAGTTATACCTCAATACAATATACACAAATTGAGTGGCAATATAGCGAATAATGATTACATTCTTGCACTTTTTTCAATCTCCATACTATTGAATTAATGGAGAACAATTACTGGCGGTGAAGTCTTGCTCGCATCATCTTAAACGAGACTGATATATGTTTATGCATGGTAGGTGAAAGTATAGGTAAAACCTTACCATTACTCCGATGTGCTCCGGTACGTTACCAATGTACGTGAGGAAGTTCTTGTCACGTGCTTCACGTTTTTGCATCATTTGTGAATCAATCATCGACTTTATACTCGCGGCATTTGCTAAATTTAAATTACTTGTTAGTAAATTCTCCAAGTTGAGAGAATTTTCTCGTTCGTAGGGCTATTCATGATGCATTTTGGGCTTACATTTTCCTCCAGAGCGATCCTAAACAGGTANTATCTGGGTCTGAATTCAAAGTTCCAAGATAAGTAGACTACCCCTCCCTGGTGAGTTTCGGGCATCGTTCAAACATGGAATGGTCTCAGTACAGTAGGAAAGGACGATATTTGACCGCAAAAGAATTGCCAAGAATGTGTTGTAACCTGGAATGATTGGAAGCCATCACTTAGGAGCTCATGGGGTGCGCCGAAAGAAACCAACGGTTTACATTTTATAGACGGGAAGATGTCTCAAAAATAATCCGCAGGATGTATTCTTATTCTCTATTACTTTCCTCTACACTCTTTCACCATACATACTGTATCACTCATTATAACATTGCTTCAATTAAACCAGAGACTTGAAAACAAAATGGCTTGGATCATTGTTTCAAGTAGGGTCAGGCTGAAAACTAAACAGTGTCACCTGAAAATAACTTTTTCTTCGACCTTGATACAAAAGTGCTTGACCTTTACCGGTTCTATTTGAGTAAGCCTCTTCTAATTAACATATTGTGGGTATAAAAGTTGAAGCCTTTTGGTGTTGAGCAATCTAGTTTTGGGATGTGCCTCGCATTTGACTTCCAAGAAAAAATCGTAGTGACGTTTGTATGCTTATGTGACCTATGCAGTGAATTGTGGTGGCCAACCGATGTATCCTTGATCAGTGCTCTAGATCTCCCAGTCAAGTGGCTGATCACAGAGGGATGGGGACTCTGTTGCCAATTCAGAATTTTCCAGACCATGCTTAAAATTATGTGAATGGATTCGATAATAACCATGATAAACTCGAAAATAAAGGCACTCTTTTTACATTACTCACCTGTAAAAACTGCCAGTAGCAAGGCAAAAACAAGTAATCGGAGCAGTCGCAGCATGGGAAAGTGTTTTGTTCGAAGTGTAATCACGGCCTTTTCAAGCACCAGCGAAGTTATTTCGGTAACGACGGAAACGATGTTGACGTCGGGAGACCAGCGTGATCATAGTCGTATCGTGACCGAAATAAAGTATCCGATTTAGTAAACCAATGACCCGCCGAACGAAATGAACATGAACGGGACAAACGATCATCGTCTAGAGAACTTCGTTCGAAGTTCACAGCATGATTTAGGTTCCTGCTGCGTTTGTGGATTTGATTGCAGAATTTCTGGAAAAAAATCAAAAACTAGCTCGTTAACGTGGGTAGAAGCTGGACAACACAGCTCACTGTCATGTTCTGCTTTCAACTGCTTTTCTCTTTGAGTTTGACTTTGGAAATTTGGGCACGAAGGCACTTTTATAAGTCGAAGAGCTACTTATTTGGGTGGAGCTATGGCTTACACTGAAAATGAATTCTTGTTGGCATCCAGAGTTCATGCTTTGAATTGATATCCATCGCTATCGGGCCTTTTCTGCTCTATAAAAGCATCCCGCGGTTGGTCGATCCTCATTTTTGTAACTTCGTGTGGTGGGCTTTTGGGAACGGCTCCTTCGAGAAGAGTTCCAATTCACTTGCTGAATCTTTGCAATCCTCGCTGATCCAAAGTTGCGCATGGTTCAAGAAGACGTCAATTTGAGCACAGCTCTGCCTTCTGCTCCAGCCACTAAGAAGGGACCTCATGATCCCAGAATGTGGGTTCTGTAAGAGATACCGTTACTGTAAATGTTTGTGATGGTGCTTCTCTTCTTTCAGAGCTCGATTCACGGCTTCAGTACTGGTGCTTATAACCATAGGTTTGGTGCAACTGATTGGTCAGAGTATGGCGGTTCATGGGCCAGTGATTGTGGCGCAGCTTCTTTTCCTCTTTTTCACTGCATTTACTCATGAGGTGGGTTTTGGAGGAATTATACAAAAAGATTTGCTTCTTCAGGGAACTGAGATGAGGGGAAGGAATGAACGGCATCTTCCAATTTAGTGTAAACGAGTCATCCAAAGATCACTTCGGGCCTGTTGCCCTTCTCTCAACCCCGT